ATTTTCAGTACAAATCGGCAATTTCATACTTTAACCCCTATTATTTACAAAAAAAAACCAAAATACTGAAGAAAAATATATTCAATACTATCCAGCTAACAATAAAAGTGACGCCATGAAATATAGGCGGATAATTACGTTAAATGATTTGTATATATAACGTTTAAGTAAGCGTTATACACACATAATTCACTTTACAGATAAGACTACACACACGAAAAACTGCTTAATACTTTGCTTAAAATTATTATTGCAATTATAATGCCGTAATGGTTAATGGGCTATAACAAAACTATGAATACATTTATCTGGTAAATTATTATTATTTTTAACTGTTGTGACCAATAAGTATAATATGCCATAATACTACCTTATTTTGAAAAAAATATTTCAAAGATATTGTAATTGAAATGGAAAGTCAGACAGATCTTGCTTAACTTTAAAAACTTGTCCAAAGTGTACCTATGACTATGTAGCAAAAGCAAAACTTCATATTCTCAAGAATGTCCGCATCACTACTCTAAAACATATTATGTACATTAATTAAAATGTTAATAATTTGTTAATACATTCTAACTCTTGAAAAAAAAAAGAAAGAAATGCTTTGGTGAAATACGAAATGACAAATATATGAACAAGTGCATTACTTCCTTCTTTCTAGATGTTGCATACATAATGAACTTATAACTAATATGTTAACAATAGGAAGATTTTATTTAAAAGCTCATAAGGAACCAACACAAATACCGAATTTTAATAATTTTGGTGGTGGTGTAAGAGTGGCAACATTAAGTAGTCTATGTACTATTTTGATTAACAATAATAAAAATACTATCACTTACATTCTTAAATACAATATAATAATAAGAAAATATGCAAACAAGGCTGATTATATTTCATTTGTACTAATAAGTATGGGTATTATAAACCTTGCATTAACCCTGCACCAATGCTTAAATGCTTAAAACAATCAGTTGCACCAAAGTGCCGTATTGCGAATAGTTATTAAGTTGACATTTTAGATCAAATAGATAAATCAACAGCGATAAATTCTAATTGCTTGCTAATTTAGTGCATAAGTTTAATTAAGAGCTTACTAGCTCAGTCACATTGACAACATAATATATAGAGCACTCATTTTTAACAACAAATATTTTATTGTTTTTCAAAAAAAAAAAAAACACTTGTTCAATGTTGTAATTTGAAGTTTGGTTTGTATAAAATGAGATCTGTAATTTAGGCAATCATATTTAAAAACCTGAAAGAGGTTTGATGTAATATTATTTTTTTGATATTAATATGAGATGGGTTATTTTGTTTTAAAGATCATTTTGTTCAGTTATATTCTTCATCTTCATCCATCGCAAAATCTACTCCTGAGTCCACAGCACACACAGGGCTGTAAGAAAGTGAGATTTTTTATTACATATGATTAATTAAAATAGCATTAAAAAAATTCCTCCAAATTGTAGTGCAATTACCTCATGGCTCTGCAAGTAAAGAAAACAATACGCTTCAACTTCTTGTTATAAAAGAAGTAGTTGAAAGTCCAGAGGCAGCCAGGCTCACCAAACGGGTCACTGGCCAAGTCTGGGTTATAGCTGTAAATTCTGCATTCAGGCAGAATCACTTCCTCGTTAACAGCAGCCCACAGTACTGGACGCAGTTGACGCCAGCGTACGCCGCCCACGGCCGAGAGTGCACTATCAACAGCTCCCTGAACCCAACTTAAAGATGGCTCAGCACTAAATTCACTACTCTGTAATTAAAAATGCAATCAATATGAATTCACAAGTATACAAGACTACTCCTATATCATGCAATATAAATATAGAATATAGTTGCAGAAGCAAGGTTGCTTATACATAACAAAGAATGCATAACCTTCAGATACCAAACATATATCATATTTGTACAATCATACAGTATATTATCAAACACCACAAAAACAAGAATTTTTTTCTGCATTAAATAGTGTTGGTTTAGCTTGTGTTAACAAGTATTATGATATGAGACCTATTTAGACTGTTTACCAGACCTACTAGCCACTTGTACTACTATTTACTATACAATATGTATTATAAATAATTTTACCTACCTTTGCCATCGAAAAATCATAATCAGGAAAGGCAGCATTCAGTGTGGCTATCAAATAAAAGAGGGTCTTCCGTGATATGGTATCACACAGAATGCCTTCATCTCCAGACAAGCTGCGGCTGAAAGTAAATTAAACATTTAAATTATGTTCTTTAATGTTTAATGTACAGAAGTGAAGGTAATGGGTTAAGTACCTGTATGTAAGTCCCTCGGGTGGTGAGAGAGCTTGTAGGTTGTGGGTGGTTTCCCCATCTGCAGTAAATCGCTTGTAGAATGCCTTCTCAGCACCAGCCATCTTGCAGCTGTAGCTTTCGACACGGGCCTGCAAGGCACTGTCGCCATTCAAGATCGACAGTGCGTTGCTTAGTGCCTCCAAACGTCCACTCTCCAAGAGTTTCATTTTCTCTGAAGTGTCTTATACCACCTTACCCGCGTAAACTTCTCGGTATTATTGAAACCGTTGTATTTGAGCAGCACGGTACACTACTTCTGTACATAGCAGTCGGGTGTATAAATATTCCTTTTCTCTTTGAGTGTAGAAGATTCACACTCGATAGTAAATTCGTCTTCTGTTCTTCTTCCGCGCTGATGGGATGCGGGAACATCACAAATAACCAAAAGTATATAATTTTCAGAATTGCTGGTACTTGGTAGCAAATTTATTTTTAGCTTGTTATTGGCTTTTACACAACGAGAGCGCGTCACTTCACTTGTTGTCCTACAAACACTTATGTAAACAATTTTCCTGTTATAGGTCAAAATCCATAGCAGACATCGTTACTAACATGAATAGACACGAAAATGTTGAACACTTATTCCAATTAGACATCAATTTGTACCAATTAATTGAAAATCACAGAAATTAAGTAAAGCTTCGATCGACAAACAAAGGACATTTTCTTTTTCAGTGTTGCCAATATAATTTACGTTATAAAATTATTTTTCAAAATGGTAAGACTTGGTTCGACTTTAAATAAAATAAATGAATTGTATGTATGCGTTATTTATTCTAAGATTGTATGTATGTGAGTACATACTTGGCACCACCATTATGTAAAAAGAAGAAGACAAATTTATTATACTTTAATTTAATCTGCCGGCATTGCGGTCAAGGCGCAAGGGCACTTTTCAATTTCGGATTTGTTTGTAAAACGAATGAATTTGTAAAAATGGCGAGTTTTTGAAGTTACGAGTACAGTTTTTACAAAGATTATTTTTATTTTAAGTAAGTATATTATGAAGAAAAAACGAAGAATGAAATAGTGATGAAGAAAGTTAGTACTATATTCCTTATTTTAAACCAAATTACAAAAGATTTTATCCTGAAACTTCTACTAATTATGAATTCAAAGTTTTTATTCCAAGTGATGGAAGACAATGTGATTTAAAAGAAAGGTAAAACATAAATATAGACTCCCACCGCTCAAAATACTATTTAAAAACTCAACTAAGTCAACTAATTTATTTAAGAGAACGTGAAAACATAATGTATTAGAATTAGAAGTACAATAGAAAATATTACTGAGGATCCCAATAATTAAGCGAAGATATGGCTCAAAGTACTTGTATCCAAGCCAAAAGTATTATAAAAAAAATTATAAACGAATGTTATGATGACCACAGACTACTTAGTGAACTACGTATGATGACACCACGATTGAGTCGTATTCCTCAATGCTCAAGTCAGCACTTGAGTATGATTTAAAGCACTGAAAATCATATTCAAGTCCTTGCCATTAGGGTCGTATTTCCAGTCCTTGAAATCATACTCAAGTCTGCTCAAGTCAGGACTTGAGTATGATTTGAAGCACTGAAAATCATACTCAAGTCCTTGCCATTAGGGTCGTATTTCCACTGCTTGTGTTTTCAGTGCAATCGTGACTTGAGCGTTGAGTAGAGTTCTACAATACGACTCTTGAGTCGTATTCCAGAACTCTACTCAATACTCAAGTCAGGACTTGAGTATTGCAGTGAGCACTGAAAATCATACTCAAGACCTTGCCATAGAGGTAAGGCCGTAGACTAATCTGTGGACTAGATGGAAAAAAATAGAGGCCGTAGACTCTACGGGGCTAGAGGCGAAAGAGAACGTAGTTAACGAGCACTGTTGCCAGATTAGGCGATTTTTCGCCATTTAGGCTTTGAGTGGTCGCGCGGCGACTAAAAAAGTGGTCAGCGACTCGGCGATATTTAGGCTATGTTTGAAATAGGAAACGGTGATTTTAAGCAACTCAAAAACGTCTGGGGAATTACAAACTGCATTGGGGATTTTGTGGGAAATGGAGACATTTTGAGTATTTCGACGTGTGAGGAATTGCTGCCGGATATTGGGGAATATGAACTCATTTATTTTCCCCCACGTATTAACTTCACAAAAGTCTAGCAACACTGAGGGCCTAGCCAAGTGGCATTCGCTCCCATTCTATTCCATTTCTACAATCGTCATCGATTAGACGTGAACGATAATAGATTGGTAGCCAAAGTTACAAGAGCCTGACGATCGCTCATTCTATTCGATAATTCGTTAAAAATCAAAATATAGTCTACGGTTTCGACGGCAAACTTCACTTTGAATTTGACAAGAGATCGATGTTCGTAACAAAACGCGCGGCATTGAAGTGGAATAAAGTAGTTTTAAACGTGAAAAGTGATTTCAAAGGTATTTTAAAGGTAAGTATCTGCAGAAACATTATATTTAGCTCTTCTGTGATATACTTTTGTCACCCATAATTCATGTAAGATAGATATCTTGCAAAGTTTATTGTGATGTTACATTCCAACTTTAGAAGTATTTTCTTCATCTTTTTAGCAATGGAACCGAGCTTGCGAGCTAGTCTGGAGCAATCCTCAGATTTTGTAGAACGTATGGAAAGATACTCAATATAGGAATCATACATTTTTCATCCAAACTTATCAAAATGCAATTACCACTTGAGACTGATATAACGTAAACAATGACGTGATATAGTACAACCTAAGCAAAAGAAATTAAGACCGTGTATGTTACAGGCACGGCGACCTCTTGAAGCCCCAGTCGGAAGCTCAAGGTCGCCTGAGAAGTGATCGACTGAGGCGATCTATGCGTGGTGGTGTCGAAGTCATCCGATAAATGCATACTTGATAAATGGGATAAAGTAAGCTAGCCCACCTCTTTGATTTTACATTTATATATAATGAATGGGTTTTATCACTATCATGAACGGCGACATGCTGAGGGTACTGGTGATGGCCCAGACAGCCAACAAATTTTAACTGCTTTGGTACAGAGGGTGGTTACGATTTTAGGGGTGTCAGCAGGAGTAGGTCAAGCTAGTATCCAGGAGCAAATATTAATATATATAGAATACAATATAAATATAATAATGCACACACTCAACATAGCCCCGCACTAGGGAAACCCGGTGTCGCGAGTGCCAATGACGCACACATAGACAACAACAAATTACACCCAAACTCATGAAAAAAAACAAATGTAGGCCATTCAAATAGTTCTCTCGGCCCGGGAATCGAACCTTGGACCTATGCGTGTCAGGCCGGCATGGTAACCGTTTGGCCACACAGGCAGTTAAAATTTCATTTAGTCAATGTTAGTACCACATAGATATTATGTCCCTTCAACATATTCTGTCACCATGGCATTACCAGTTTATCATAGTCTTAGAACAAAAAATTTTTAAAAATAAAGTTGTTCCTATTCAATTTTAAATCATCCCCTTTCATAACTTCTGCAATCATTACAACACCACATTATAATCTAGAACAAAATCTAAATTCTTTATCACAAACCCATTTAGCTAATATTAATACTTTTTCTTTTTCAGAGACCATCATCGTCAAATGAGGAAGTTCAACTACAACAAGCAAATTACTTCTTGACCAATGACATATAGTTGATGTAGTAAAATGTTATGCTTGTGCAGACCCACTTTTTACTTTGTATAATAATATCTGTAAGTAGGTAGGTGTAGAACTAAGTACATGGACCTACTGGGAATAAATAGGTCTATGAAGTGGGTAATACATTTATGAGAAACTTAATTATAATAGGTATTATCACCAAGAGAATACTTATTGTATTTTGTAAAACAAATTGTATATGGTTTACCATATTATTACTTAAGAAAAATAAATAGTATAATATTGTATATACAGGGTCAAGAGCACGTCAAGTTTAACACTTTAAGATTTAAATCCAACTCAATGCTGCTTTCGGTAAGAATGGTCCAAAGTACAAAGTCAAGCTTGATGTGCTTTTGACTGTACCTGAACACTTAAAATTAAAAGATTGAAGGTGAATTTGTAAAATAATAACAAAATAGCCTTGCAGTTAAGAAATAAATAATATTTATAATAAAAATAATATTTTTATATTTATAATTATTTTTCATTTTCTACATCACAATCTATTCACTAAAGAATTGGGCATGGCTCTGCCATGCTTTAGCTCATCTTGGCTACTACAGGTAGATCCTCATCATCACGTTGCGCAGCCATATCACCTGGTGGGGGTAATTTAGCATTCAATGCAATGTTATGCAGCGCACCACACGCAATTACTATTTTACTGGTGACTTGGAGATGTTAATGAAGTGTTCAGTGCTTAAGTAAACTTCTTCAACGTGTCTTCAGCAAGCCAAAACACCGTTCAATACAATTCGTGGCCTGGATATGACGCCTGGTGTAATTCTCTTCTGGTGACCCTGGTGCAGCATTTAAGATAGACATCATTAGCCAGGCTCTTTGTGGGTATCCAGAATCACCTAAAATAATTAGGATTGTTTAAATTATCAATTAATCATAGGAGGCAGGCAGTTGACAATTAGTTTGTAAAACTTAAAGCTGTTTTTGTTATAGGCCTAAATGTTTAGACTAACAACAAAACATATAGATTATGCAAAAAGTAGTTATGTATAAATGTTCAATTTTGTTTCTTACCTAATAGCCTGTTTGTTCACCATTTTGATGAAGCCCATGCATGTATGGTTCTACTTGGCTGGATGACCATATAAGAGTCATGTGTGGCTCCACCATACTTAGCATCGACATTTAAAATTTTTAAGTTATGATCACAAATCTGTAAAATAGACAAAATTGATGGTTGATACAGAGATAAATACCTATGCTATTCAAATTTTACGAATTAAACAAAGTAACTATATAATTAACTTCAGGATGTACCTTGTACAATTTCAGATTTATATTAACCCTTCAACTAACTGTACAAAAATCACAGGACAAACAATTTCAATTTTAATACTAAAATTATCTTGTCAACCAATGAAATGTGTAATAGGCTAAAACATTTAATGAGTGGTATACTTTTATAAAAAAGATGCTCATCTACCACGGACTTCACAATGGTTACATGGGTGCAGTCAATGCACCCTATTACACCAGATAAATGAAATCTTATTTGGAACTTGTAAATTCATTAATAAAATTGATAAAAGTGAAATGGTACAAATACCTTATCATTTATGTGTTATTTTACTGAAATGTCGCTTACCTCTGGGCTTAACTTGTTGCGTTTGTGGAACACCCATTTACTTCTTACATTCGGATGATTGAGGGCTTCCACAACTTGCGCTAATGCAACGACTAGTTGTTCGCTGCAGCAAATGTTGCGAGACACACACGATCCACTGGTAAGAGCCTGTCGCCAAGAAACTCAAGGCACAAAAAACCTACAAAAACAATATTTTTGTTATCATAACCTCTGGTGGTTGGTATCCATTAATATTACACTTCATATTACAGCAGTAGGCATAATTTCTTTACCTTAACTTCCAGTAGAAATGCTACGGTTCCTCTCAAATAGGTATGGGCCCGTAGGTGGAGACAAATGCTCGTTTATCCAATCTAAATGGTTCCCGAAACATATAACCGGCATTTCGCCGATTTGCTCCAAGGACCGCCGAGAAACGTTTCTTTTTTGACGCCTGAGCCACACTTCTTCATTATGAGCACCCCACAAGAGTCGAAGCGAATGCATTTCAAAGTTATTTATAAAAATTTGCACAAACACAACACAAAACTTCACCAGCTGATTATAAAATCGCCATTTTGTTTCGTTTTCTACAAGGTGTTGGCGATCGCTTGGTAATCGATCGATGGAATAGATAGCGAGCGTAAGCGATTGTCAAAATTGTCACTTTGGCTACGGTTTATATGGGAGTTGTCGAACGAGTTGGACGTTTCGTTTGATGGAATAGAAAGTGATTAACATTGGCTACCAATTTATCGTTCGTTACGCTACATCACGTGACATTTCGTACGCTTATGTCAATCCCATACATTGTCTTTCTATTCCATTGGCGATATCGCTAACAAAAAGACACGTTGGCTAGGCCCTCTGTTCACTAGGTAGTCGCATAGTGTATGATCTATGTCTGTGAGTATAATGTTCTGTGGTCTGTGGCGAAAGAGTTTTGTTTATCCAAAATGAACTATTTATGCAATAAAATAAAGAATTATTACGGCCTTTTCAAATATAATCTGATGCTTAGCAAGTGAAGTTTCATATAACTATTCAGAATGGCTACGAGTAATTTAAAATTATTGTGTGGCGTTTTGAGTAGAATGAGGTTAGGGCAAGTATACGAATGCCATATTTAATATTGTTACCAGCTAAGGTTACCAGGTAATTTGAATCCATTACATTGAATTGGATATTTTCAGGATTGATAATGTAATTATACGATCAAATGCTAATTATAAACCTAAATATCGTCCACCGTACTGGTATATGCCCAAAGAAAGAGTGGTCAGTATAAAATATATTTATTAATGTTTTAAAAAGAAAGTCCAAATTTTATTGTTTCAATTAAACTGTTGATCTAATCATCAATACAATTAGTCTCGCAAATGAATGAGACTGAACCCATACTGTGTCAATACTGTAACATTACATCTCAATTTACAGCTGAGTGAAGATCTATTAACTCAAGAAAACCGTCAGTTTCTTGAGGAAGTTATGCAGGATAGACTTAGCGCACAAGCTGATATAGAGTCTCCTTTAGCACAAGTCAATGTTGAGAAATCTGGTCAGTGGACTCCTCAAACCAGGAGAGTTGGAGTCATTGCCCGAAAAATAGGCAATTACCCTCTATGCTCAAAAGAAGGAAAAAAAAATGCATACCACATTATTACAGGTAATAATAATAATACATAATTTTCTTTTCACCAAATGTATTGCTGTTATAATTATTAATACAATGATTAATGTTAACTCAGAAAAAATTTCTTCAATCTGTCCGGATTCGAACCTACGGCTTCTAGCATACCGTGCCAGACGTTATACCAACTAAACCACGGAACGAACCAGCAGACCTCACAAATTTTTCTATGTGCTTGTCGTACCTTTGTATTTGGTTTTTCAGCGACTTTGTATTAATAATTATAACAAACTAGTGGAGTAATTTCACAAAAAATAATTGAATATCAATTCAATAAAAATTGCAATATTGCTGTTGTTTTAGGTTGTCGATAACCATGTAATAAAGTACATTCCTCCAGAAGAATTCAAACCGATGAAGACTACAGAAGTAATGTGGAAAGAAAAACGACGATCAGGCTGCCTGCTCGTTGGATCAGAGACCGTAGGTCCTAATCAACAATCAATCTATCAACTTCGATCACTGGTAATAAGTATCAACGCAGGACATATTTATATGCAGATAGGTGTCTAAACAAGTACTTATTTACTACACAAAATTGCGTTAAATCTGTCCGCAAAATCTCGGAAATTGTGAATATTTACGGTTTTTTTTAAAGATTGCTTATGTAATGTTAAATAACATTAAGTGCACGATTTTCAAATTTGAGTAATGTGTCTTTTCTACTTACATGAATAGTTGAATATCAATAATAAATACACTGTAAATATTGTAATTTACAAACTATTATACTTATTGCAATCCAGAAAAAGTACCCGTTATCTAAATTGTAATATTAATGTTACTCAATCGAAAAATTGAACTTTAGTAAAGTTTCCCGTGTTATTTTTAAATTTTGTGGTTTAATTTTTTTGGCTTCCCGATTTCGTCAAATGATATACTTCCTTACCAATACACCTATACTTTTTTCAAGTTATCATTTGAATAAGTTTAAATACCTATCAATTATTTAATCTCTCAGCAACGACCACTGGTAATAAGTATCAACGCAGGACATATTTAGGTGCAGATAGGGGTTTATACCATTACTTATTAACTACACAAATTTGCATTAAATCTGCAAATGTCAGTAAAATCTCAGAAATTGTGGATATTTAAGGTTTATTTTAGGTCAAATAACATTAAGTGCATGTGTTCCTTTGAGTAATGTGTCTTTTCTACTTATATAAATAGTTGAATGTCAAAAATACACTGTGCTGTCATGTAAAAATTGTAATATGCAAATTTTTATAGTTATTACAATCAAGAAAAAGTACCCGTTACCTAAATTGTAACATTAATTTTTATTCAGTCGGAAAATTGAACTTATAGTAAATTTTTACCATGTCATTTTTAAATTTTGCTGTCTAAATTTATTGGCTTGCCGATTTTCTCAAACAATACCTCCTTACCAATACACCTGTATTATTAAGTTATCATTTGAATAAGTTTAAATATAAATTATTTAATTTCTGAACTCCGATCACTGGTAATAAGTATCAACGCAGGATTTATTTATACGCAGATAGGGGTTTATACCAGTACTTATTTGCTACACTAAATTTTGTGAAATCTGCAAATGTCAGTAAAATCTCATAAATTGTGAATGTTTAAGGTTTTTTAAGATTGCTCGTATAATGTCAAATAACATTAAGTGCATGTATTTCAAATTTAAGTAATGTGTCTTTCCTGTAAATAGTTGAATATCAAAAATTCACTGCTGGCCAGTAAACATTGTAATTTGCAAATTATTATAGTTATTGCAATCAAGGAAAAGTACCCGTTATCTAAATTGTAATATTAATTTTTACTCAATCCAAAAATTGAACTTTAATAAATATTTCCCATGTCAGTTTTAATTTTGCTACATAATTTTTTTGGCTTGCTGATTTTTTCAAAATGTAAACCTTCTTACCAATACACCTATATTCTTAAGTTAGTTTAAATAATTGATTTAGTACGTTTGATTATTTTGATTGAATGTGTTAATAAACCACCTTTTATATAAATGTCTTTATATTTTGCGCCATATTTTTGACCTTTATTGCGTTTGTGACTGTTATGAAAACATTAAAATAAAGATCAAATAAGGAAACGCATACACTACATATATTTTAAATACGTGTAGTGTATGTACGTTTCCCTATTTCATCTTTATGTTTTATAACTAGCAAACATAATTTGAAAATCCCGCGCAGGTAGTTCGAATTTGTTTGAAAATTCCCGCCTTTATGGGAATGTATATTCGCGCTGCCTATTATTTAACCCCCTTACTATCAAGTGTTTACAATTACGGTTCCGTATTTTTTGTATGAAGTTGGTTTTTTTCGTGTGAGTATAGTGTTCTGTGCCATCTTGTAATAATAGATTGTGTAGACGTGCGAAAACAGTACCTCGAAAAGTAATGTGATATCACATTATATTTCCATAAAAGTGAATATTATACTGTGATATCACTATTACCCACAACATCACACAGTGTAACACAACCAAAAGAAACATATCGACGAATTGAGAATGATGCGTTTTAAAACAACCTATAAAACGCATTTCTAGAACTTAAACTTGCATTATATACAAAATCTACTTACATATTACATATCACGCAAAATAAGCGCTTTGTTGTCGAGTTGCGGATACCAGCCCGTTGCACCAAGTACCAAGTAGTACATATTACTCGAGAGAATCAAACAAAAATTACGAAATATTAAGAACCATCTGGCAACCTACACTCTCCCTGGTTAAATTTTACATTATAAATTGCCACGTAAAAAATCAAAATATTGTATTTAATCAAGAAATGATTAACAAATTATGCAATTTCATTTTAAATGTCTACTGTTTAATTTGTTTACACCATCTAGTAAGTTGTATAATAACAAATGCTTTCCAAAAATCAGACGTTAATTATAACTTGTTACATAACCTCACTTTTACTAAATAACTTATTACCTTGCTCTCAGTTCAATTAGCAGAATTTTCAGTGATGGTATATCAATACCTACGCAATTAACTGATACCACCTTCATGTTTTTATATCTTGGATTGATTATATGAAACCGTATCCATCTCCTAGATTACCAAGAAAAATCTAAATATTATATTTAACCAAGCACTGATTAATAAATTATGCAATTTCATTTTATATTGTCTACGGTTTAACCCTTTTACACCATTTAGTAAGTTATTAAATAATTGGGGTACTAATAAAAACATCGTTCTACTGCAATTTACACTAAGCATCACGGCATCATAAACATCACTCTGTAACATTAGCATCACGCGGGTAATGCATCACGCGCGTACTGTTTCCGAGCGATGCATCACGCGGGTAATGTGCGATGCTAACATCACGCGTTAAGTTACACGTACTGCGTACTGCGCACTGAGTACGTGTATTTCATACGGAGCGGTATACCAAGCCCTATCAAGTAGAACGTGAGAAATTTGCTAGGTGGCGCAATTAATATCGATATTTACTCTAAGTTCATATCGAATGTATAATAAAAGACGATACATTACGTAATAATTCCTACACGCATCATAATTGATAACTTAACTTGAATGATGGCGAGTGCGTGTGAGACTCAGGGTCGTATTCTAGAACTCTACTCAATGCTCAAGTCAGGATTGCACTGGAAATACGACCCTAATGGCAGGGACTTGAGTATGACTTCAAGTGCTTTAAACCATACTCAAATCCTGACTTGAGCATTGAGTAGAGTTCCAGAATACGACCCTTAGAGTCGTATTCCAGAACTCTACTCAATGCTCAAGTCAGGATTTGAGCAGACTTGAGTATGATTTCAAGCACTGGAAATACGACCCTAATGGCAAGGACTTGAGTATGATTTTCAGTGCTCACTGCAATACTCAAGTCCTGACTTGAGTATTGAGTAGTTCTAGAACTCTACTCAATGCTCAATTTGAGTATGGTTTAAAGCACTCGAAATCATACTCAAGTCCCTGCCATAAGGGTCGTCTTTCCAGTGCTTGAAATCATATTGAGATCCTGACTTGAGCATTGAGTAGTGTTCTGGAATACGACTCTAGAAAACTGTTGGATAATTTTCCTTTTTTTTAATTTAGTTTTTTTAGAGTTAATAGATTCAAAATTTTTAAACAATAGATACATACATTATTTAACAAAAATAAAATCTTGAAATTGATTCACATTTACTAATCGATTCATTCAAGTAGATTTGTTTCATCGGTACATATTTAAGTCTCTGCTGGTTGGCTGACAGCAGTGACCTGTGGGTGTTAGTAAGGACACCTGGCGAGAGCGCTACTTAACATTACGGCGCGGTATACAAAGGTCCATCAAGTAGTAAGTGAAAAAGTTGCTAGGTGGCGCTATTAATATTGATATTTATTATAATGTTCATATCGGGAAATAATTATGTATGAATGTGTACTATAATGGCGATTAGAGACGGGAACAACTAATTAATTTTTTTAAACGTTTAAACGTCATGCTTTTTTAAACGCTTTTTAGTTTGAAGCTACCAAAATCGTTTAGAAAACGTTTAAGCGCATAGACTTTTATGTTAAAAAAAGCTTGCAACTTTGTGTTGATAGCGAAATGCAAGAGTTTACCACTAAAGGTTTTAAAATAAGTTTTAAAACCTTTAGTGGTTTAAGTTTAAGTTTTTAAAATATTATTTTATTCAGTATTATTTTTGTTTACGACATTACATTATTATATTAACATTTTGTTCATTGGCGTTTAAAGGCGTTCAAAAACATACATAAGTGGTTTAACTTTTGTAGTTGTTAACCGTTGAAATGGAAAAAACTGCTTAATTTTTTAACGTTAAAACGTACGTTTAAAAAGCGTGCTTGTAAAAGCGCTTTTCACTTAAACGCCTTTGAGGGTTGTATTCCAGAACTCTACTCAATGCTCAAGTCAGGATTTGAGTATGATTTAAAGCCCTTAGCACTAGAAATCATACTCAAGTCCTTGCCATTAGGGTCGTATTTCCAGTTTCAGTATTTTTCTGAATAATATGTATGATTAAATTTTTATTGAATTGATATTCAATTGTTTTTTGTGAAATTACTCCACTAGTTTGTTATAATTATTAATACAAAGATCGAACACTCAGAAAAAATTCC